TACTCTTCCATCAATGTAAAACTATTAACTGTATTTTGTTGTTTTGACCAATATTAAAATTTGTAATTGCTTATAGAAGTTTTGTTAAGAGCACATTGCGAAACACTTTAATTGATCAAGAACAAAATGAAAGGGCAAAAGCCACAGGGAACATGTAAGGAATATAAAATAATAAGTGCAGTTTTTTAGATAAAGGTTTGTGTTTTATGTCACAGTCACATATCATTGCGACAAGGGCAAAAATGCTGAAAATGTTAATTTAGATTTTTAGTCCGTAGTTATAAGTTATATTTTAATTTGTTTATTATCTATTATCCAACAATTAGTTGTAAGTAACTCTTGTTGTTGGAAAATTACATCAGTAAATACTTAAATATGTGAATAAACTAATAAGAGGAAATAAAGTATCGTTTTTTTTTCTTTACATATATGTATGTATATTCCCTGAACATACCATATACATTCACTGAGCATACACATGTACATTCACTAAACATACCATGTACATTCCCAGAAAATACACATGTATATTCACTGAACATATCATGTACATTCCCAAAAAATACACATGTATATTCACTGAACATACCAGGTACATTGTCAGAACATACACATGTACATTCACTGAACATACCATGTACATTCCCGGAACATACCATGAACATTCAGTGTATTAACTCTGACAGATTCAGTGTGCATGTACATCACATGAATGTTCCAGGTATATTCTGGGAATATCATTTTGCTATGTGGGCAGAGCTGGTATTCTGGTGCGCTGGGTTCTGTGGGGCTCCAGCCAAGTTGTTTACTCACTAAAACTCCTTCCGTCTTAGCGTCCAGCCTTGGACTGCGGCCAGAGAACAGAATTCTTTTATTGTATATTTTCTGTACAGGCCATATCTTGGAGTGAAATGATGCAAAATTATTTTCATTGAAATTTCTGATGTTTGTATGCAACAAACGTCTTTTGGATGTTATAGATTTTCGAGAAATAAATAAATGAAAATCGTTTTGCCATTAAGAGCTCCCTGTTACCTTATGCCTATAGCCTTATGGAGCCATTGCCTTTGGAGAAAATAATCTAAAACAGGAATTCTCTTGACATTTTTAGAACTTATTGAACAAAATATCCGTATTTCAGTGGCATAACATGCACATGTCGAATTGGGCAAAAAAAAATCAGACAACAATTCCAGCGCTTTCACATAATTCAAACTTATTAGAAAAAAATGAAAGAAAAATGCTCCCTTTCCAGTGGCGTATGAAGCATTTTTGTATTTAAAGAAATGTATTATTGAAGCCCAATTTTCGAAGGGTTAAAAAACACGCAACTGGGCTAATAAGTCAGCCAAAAATTGGCAAAATAACTAAATAGAAATTCCAAAAATGCACAAAATTTGATCAGTGGGGTAATAAATATAATGTTTTAAAATACTTTAATTAAATTTAATGTAATGAAACAAATTAACGAATTGTAAAAATTACGTTACAAAAATGTTACGAACTACGAAAATGATTACTACCACGCTACGAATTACAAGTAAATGTCAATGCGCGACCTGCTGGCGGATGATTGGAACTAAAATATACAACTACGAAGCTGACCTTGAATTTGCATCGTAACCAGCCGAACGCATCTTTATATGGCCGACTCGATGTTTCAACCCCCACGACAACTCAATGGGATAGCCTTGACCACAAAATTAGTGCGGTAAACCAATGCAAGAGGCGCGTTGTTGGCGGAAAAAAATTAAACTCGCCATGTGGCTGTCGTTAATCATCACTGTAACTGTACTTGTCTTTATCTATGATCAGCAGCACGTATTTATGAATGATCAGCAATAGTATGTAGTCTGTGGATCAGCAGTTGCCATATAATGCTAGTGATCTTGTGATTGTTCCATAGTTTGTTGTTCATACTATAAGTTTTGCTAAAAAATATAGATAACTAGAGGAAAAGTTACCACTGACTTATTTCTCTATTGCTTCAGATCATGCCTTGACTTTATTATAAAAAGCGTGCATTTTTGTCGTGCGAAAATCGTAACGGGAATCCGGATGTGAGGTTCCACATGTTTCCTCATGGT